TGGTACTTCATTACTCTTATCGGTTATACCTTATCCGGAGGAAACTTCAATCTCAGTTTCAACAAGTTTCAACCCAACACTTGCTCACTCGTCAGCATCGGTTGAGCCTCTCACTGCCCAATGAGCTGGAATATCGCGTCCACCATTATTATCTACGCCCTCTTTACCACCCGCTCCATTACCATAAATTTTTCAAGCGCAACATTATCAACGCATGCTTTGCCCACGAGTGCTCTAGTCAATGTACCTGTATACGTTCCATCTAAGAATTTCAACGCTGTATTCAAGTCTCACTCCGTCTATGTGCGTTGCATCGGTACAATCGAAAATCACTCATCCAATTCGGGTCCCTATATACCGGACATGCAAAATTGGAGGCTTGTTCCCTCAATATTACCATTTGGTAGTGTTACTAAGACTTGCAAACTACAGTTGGTACTGTTTGCATCCTTCAAACCAATATTGTAACTAATCGATTCGAAATTTTCATCCAAATTTCATATTTCCTACAACCCGAAAATGCAAGGCCAACAAAAATAACCTTTGCCACAAGCATTTCTTCATTCGTATAGCGCACCTTTAGAGTATCCGTAGCACACCAGTCACATCAATTTGCTTCTTCCTCATACAATCAATGTGATATCACATAACCGCACACAATTTTAAAAAGTCCTCGCTGTTAGTCGAAAAGGTCCATTGCCACAATGGATACAAGCTCATTACAAAAGAGATCTGCTTAATAGTTACGAATCTATGGATTCGTAAGTGCTGTGGACTCGAAACACCAGTCTGATGATTTTAAGACAGTGGTAACCGGCAAAACAAAAACAAAAATATCGCGCAAATTGCCTGTAATTTTGCATTGTATGAAGATGCCCTTATCATACTTGAGCGAAAATTGGGTCTGCCACGACAAATTATCCGTCCATATCTGAATAACTTAACAATGAAATTCCTGTTAAGATACAAATCCGATAGCATTTTAAAATTTGGATCCATGCTATCAAAAATAGTTGTTGTTCCTATCTTTGTCGTATATCCCCGATCTCAAAATTGCAAAATTTCTTGATAACATCGAGAACCTTCTACTTAACATGAACAAATCCTGGTCGGTCTATGCCGTAAAACACGAGACTCACGCTTCCTCCATAAGTAGACTCAAGCGATTGACAGAACTCACATCTCAAGACATATATTTGGAGTCTTTGGTCCTCGGCATAACAAAAACGACTACAGCGCAATTTGACTATAACGAAGCAATGTACAAAGATACCTCATGAAAATTGAGCAGAAATTTGGTCAGCTACAACAAATGGTCCGTGCATTTATGGGTTATCCTAAGAATTTACTGCCCAATAAGATGCATAACCGTGGAACGCGATATTCACGCTCCCTCTTTATTACATTTCAACGATTGGCTTCCATCTCGTAAAACATGAAGCTAGCTCTTCAGGAAAAAAAAAACGATTTTCAAGTTTTCTCCCTGAATAGGCAAACAAAAACTGAGACACAAACTGAGTCCCTGCTTGCAAATTAAAAGCGATCATCCACTTTGGAGTGTAGTTTCTTCAAAGAAAAAACCCCAACTGAAGGTGCTACATTCAAGGTTATCTTGTTTTCAGGAAATTTTCTAATCCAAAACATGAACCCAACCTCAATGTATGAGCCAAAAAGTGTCATTGCATGGATTTGAGCGCATTTTTCCTTCCCGTACTCACCTGGTAGTGCACTTCCCGTACCTGTTAGTAGTCTTACCGTTTTAGAGCTATTCAATTTGAGCGCATGAAACTCCCACTTGGCCCGAGCGCACAAAACTACTCAAAAACAATTAAAACCGAGGACATGAAACTAGTTAAAATTCACATCTGAGATCAAACCGGGAGTATCTTTCTCTGTATCTGCTGTTGTCAAAAACGCTATTACATTAGATTTAGTTTTAATAAAATTTCCAACTTACCAGAAAAATATCTGCACTTGTAACATGTTAACCCTGCAGAATACCAATAAGCCTATGTAGAAAAGATATTAGGCCAGGATGTCAATGAGATATTCGTTCTCTTGAGTCCTGCCAAGATAAGATTCAAAAAGCTCGCTCTCCATTCAACCTCCCAACGGATAGGTCTTAAGTGTTCCTCTCATTTCATCAAGTGGTCCAATCTCCACATGCCTGAGTGCAATATCTAGGGATGTAACTTAGAGAGCAGGAGATATATTAGCATGAACTTGAATCATAGGGAGCCCACAAACAAGTTAATGTTAGGTCCTGAATCGATAAAGAGCGAATTAAATCTTTAGGTCAACCACCACACATGATGATCAATGAGACCCCATCGGCAGACTCAGGGCTGAAGTTAACTCAGAACTATCAAGCAGTTTTTTCCGAGTTAGCCCTTCTAAGGTTGTTTGAAAAACGCTCAAAATAAAAAGAATTTTTAAAGAGCCATACGCAAGAATCATTTGCGATGATTATGAAACAGGGTATGTAATCGAGAAGTTTGCTGATAACCCCAAAAAACCATTCAGCGAGGTAGTGTTTTCCTCGCCATTCGTTGATTGAGCCAACCAAACCGGAAGAAAGTTGGTGCTTCCTAAATGGCGCATCCAAGTGTCATAAACGTTGCCTCAAAGCATCGCTTCTGGACTGTCTAGATTTGCTGCAAAAAAATTTAACCAAACAAAAAAAATAGGAAAAAATTCTAAGAGGCTGGTGTATTTGGGGATGATCAACCATCACTGCGATTCATGTTACAGGAAGATACAACAACCGATGTGTAAGGTACCAATAGACCCCACATAGCTTCGGGGCTCAGGACTTCCCCACATGTGTTAACTTTGCACTTCAAAAAACAGCTCGTGACAATCTATATGGACGATTACCTTGACTTGTTGAATCACATAGAAGCTTGAGAAAAAGTATGGAATTTATAGAGCTTCTTTAATTGGCATAATTCGTAAGTAAAATAAATATCCGTCAAAAAAATCTTGTTCAATGAAGAAAAAGCATCTAAGCTTTGTCTCTTCAGTCTTTGATCTCATTGGGCTGGTCACTCCACACTAAATGAGAGCATCCCTCCTCTTAAAAGAATTATTGTAATTAAAGCTGAACTGTGGATTAACCCCTTCCAGAGAAACTTAATGAAAAATTCCTGGAATGGCATTCTGGCTTACCCATCGTAGGTCAGCTTACCATTCCGCGCTGCTTATTCTTGTCTGCAACTGATAAAATTGAACTGCATACATTCGGCGTTAGCTCACAAAAGGTCTTCTGAGAAAAATTTAATGATACTTGATGATCGTTACCCCCTAGAGAAGTTATTTGAAGTAATCTGCACTACAAACATGAGCATCATGTATGGACTATCTACAATTTTGCATCCAGGTGAATTAAGCCGTCTCAAAATTAAGTTCATTACTTTCCATCATTGAACTCAACTGAGTGTTCTTCCGTAAGCAGATGTAGAAAATCGTCACAACTTTAATGCCTTAACTGCCAGTCCAGCGCTTAGGATTCCGCCAGGCGCTGTTGAATAACTGTTGGGTTGAAGACTCAGGAGATGTTGTTTGGATTGTCGCAAAAAAAGCCCCCGTCGGTACTAAACCCTAATCTTATTTTACGACTTGAATATGACAAAGATGCGATCGAAACCAATACAGAAGAATTAATTCTTCCTCTAAGAAAAACTCACTCCACTCCTACGTCTTGGGACCAGAAAATATTTCCAACTGAAATATAAGCATGAAAAACAAACTTTAGCTTGTAGTATAAAAGCAGTAAAATTAAAGCTAGATTAAAAAATGGATGAACGAGGGGTCCACAGCGATGGCGCTTTGGCTGAAATTATCAGTATACAAGGCCTTTCGGCGCGTTTTCAGTTCCCACTCGGCTCAAGTTAATTTAGTATTTTACAAATTCTAAATAATAGTTACGTAAAAACAAGTTCAAAAAACGTAAAATTTATCGATTTCGACCTTGCCTGAACCCGAAACGACAAGTTTCTGGGCGACAAACTTTCGTGTTTGCTGTCAATTATTGCTGTATAAAATTATGTACATTTAAGATTTACAGTCCGTGCCTATTATTGATTCTGAGCAAAAAATGTCAGATACTTTCTACAATCAATTTCGAATTGTTTGTTGCTATTTTCCAGATAAAATACCAGTAAGCTACCACCATTGGGAACTGTTTTTCTGGAACAGTCGAAGCTCCGATCTACCCTAGAACAACAGGACCTGCATATGAGTGGCAGAAATAACTAAGTTCCTACACTTTCCAAGGTTTCGACAATAATTTCAAAATTTTCAATTAGAGGTTAAGTTAAAACTCTTATTTTTGTCCGTTAACTTTTTCGATGTCCTTTCACAAGCTCGGCGTGTGAAATTATGATAAAATTTCAACGACACAAAGTGATTAGGAACGTATCACATATTGACGATTACGGTAAATGAAGCAAACACGAAAAATTTTGTTTTTGTATAGTTATGCAATCGGAGCACCAAGGTTTAATCTTAAATATTTGACCTGAAGGTTGAGTACTTAGGCTCAACTAAACTATGACTAACGAGAAAAAGCTCACCTTGAAAAATGTTGTCTGAACTTCTCAAGTTTTCATTTTTTCCATTTTGTGCCGTTTTTTGAAGTTTTAAGTAATTCAAATTTGCTTCGAATTAGATAAAATTAGCCTAAATATACTTTAATTTTTAATATGAACAAATTTTAGAAGCTGATTTTAATTTTAAAAACATTAGCCCAAAATTCCTCCCTAATGCGGCATGCCGGAATAAACTGAAAACTTGACAGGAATTATCGGCATGTAATTGACAGAGCGGGGCTTCTTAGCAAGTTTGGACTATTCTAGATTAATTTCAATTTTTTGCTATCATGATCAGTCAAAAGGGACTGTATTGAATGAAAACCAATCAAAGGGGCGATTCATATTTGAAACGTTTTACGTTATTGTTCACGACTAATAGAATATCCTCGGTTTAGGCAAAACAACATACTAAAGAATGGATTTAATTTTATCGTGTACATGCCTGCCCAACAAATCAATAAATCGACTAGTTTTCTTGTCTAAAAATCTGTGTCAACCTGTACTATTCAACTCTTCTTGGCGGTCAAGTTGATCAAATGTCTTCGTGTTTCGCGGTTTTATCCAACTCTACTTTTTGTGTTTCATGCCCATGTTTTGATATCTGCTTGACTTGCCTATTTCTGTTCCTCAATGTGATTTGAAACTAGCGCCAGTCACTAAGTTTCCCTCGATGCAGGCCAGACTAGCCAGAGCTGCATCTCTCGGTGGCTGAATGGGACCCTTGGAGGAGCTGTAGATGTAAGGCAGCCGCAGCACCCAGTATCCATCTGCTGGAACCCTTATCGGGTCCCACTGAGGAAAAAAGGCCACACTACCTTCTCCCAGGGGCCGAACAACAGGGTTCAAAGCTAAACTTGTTAGCGGCGGAGTCACAAAGTGAATTCGCATCAATTGCGCGTAATGTCTGTTCTTGCTCATGCGACAACCACACTGATAATAAAGAGGCATGCTGCTGGCAATTGCATTCATCGCCACGTCTGGACCTGCCGGTGATCCTTTGACCAGACAATCGGGAGACGATAAAAAGAACCGGGTTCCCTTGAAGCACTCGTACTCATAGCCTATGTATGCTCGAGTTGTTTTGTTTCCCACCGTCACATTTCCCGAACACGTCTGTTGTCCAGAATGAGTTTTTCGCTTCCCTGTTTGAACATTCGCAAACTGTTCGGCTGGTTTTGTCTTAAGTTGAGGCCAAAGTTCATCCATGTTTTGTACCAAGTATGCATCAAATGGCAGCAAGAAGTTGGTTCCATGAATGAATCCTGGGAGATCCAAACCATTGAAGCTCTCGTACGAAGAATATTGACCAAACTTGACAAATGACCACATGTTAGTCTCGGGCAAAAAGAGATCCTCGCATTCTGAGCAAAGCATATCGACTTGAGGCTTCGATGCTTTCGCCGACGATCTTACATTAGTTTTTGTAGCTAAGGCTCTGACAGTATTTGGGTCCGAGTCCTTGTTGAGGGTCGCTACAAGACTCGTTGCCGAATTTTCGGATGGTTGAGCTAAGTCTGTGATGCTCAATTCGTCAAGGGTTAAATAAGTGGAGCCTTTGGAATCCTGGGTTCCAGTAAATTGCGACTGTGAAGCTTCAAGAGCGCGTACGTCAATAACTTGCTCGTCGGTTTGAGATTTGAAAATGAAATCTTTCACGGATCTAGATGGTTTAACTTCAACTGATGTGTTTTGGAACTCAGCTCGATTTATATTAGATTGAAACTCAGCCGTCGGGAAAAATATTCGCTCCAGGGAGCCGCAACACTTTTTGTCCATCTCTCGGTAGAAAGTGATATTAGCTTCCACAATAGTGAATGAGTCGTCTCGATTGCCAACTTTTCGTCCGCAGTTACATGCACTGTTTGATCTCACTTTGCTGTTGTGCGGCTTCACTGCTCCAGTTTTCGAGTTAGCACACGCTTGTTTTTCTTCATCAGTTGTGAAATGGAACCCGTATACACAGTGATGGTTAGTCAAACTTTGCACCTCACATACTTGGTGTCCATTTTGCCAATAGTGATGACACTTTTCCTTTAGCTCCTGCAGATATCGTTCAAAAGAGGGTCCCCTGGCGTAGTTTGAGAAGTATGACACTGCTTTCTGCACATGGATCGAATGTTTTTCGGAAGTATATTGGTTTGGAAGGTTGTCTTGATACACTCGGAAAGCGGAAGGCAGAGCTTTGGCACACCTGTTAACGCAAATAGAGAATACTAATAAAATAGAAGCATTGTTAAGACGAGGAAAATTTAATGACGAAGCATCAGTGGTCTCTAAGCCTAAAATGAACAAAATAAAATAGGCCGATCGTTTTCAATGAGCAGTGGGTACCTTTAGTTGAAATTTAAACAGTACCTGTGATCAGAAAACTTGCTCAACACATCCATATTTGCCTTCACTTCCTCAAAGTACTTGCACTCAGTTGTATCTCCCAAGAAGAACTCATAGACTGTACTTGCAAACGTAACCCACTGACTGAGTTTAGGGAAGTCGAATATGGGGTCTGTGAACGAGTGTTTCTGCTGCAGGGGAGTCTCGTTGCGAGAAGACTTCAGAACCCACTCGATATGATCTGACCACAGTTGAGACAAACCTACGCAGTAAGAAAATGTCGCTCACTGATCAGGTAGCATATCGTAAGCCGATTACAGTCATCTTTCTGATCACAATTTTAAACAGAGAGGCGAAACTAAGTCGGAAAAAAATCGAAAATGTCGAAACAACTAGATCTATCAAAACTAATAAGGCACGTTTTGAACACAGAGGCGAAGATGCGAGACCAGCGCAAACCCCAGCGAGAACGCGACAAAAAGCAGCTGTACACTTTTACAAAATGCAATAAGAAAATGTAAAAATAAGCCTCGAATTAGCAAAAATTCAGCGCCGTCTCGGAATCGGCCCTACGACCTAGAAATCAGTCTCACGCACTAAACACTCATCCACGTTTGCTTAGTCCGTCACAAACACTAGCTACAAATAAAGCCGAGAACAGATGCTATGAAATTTCTGATGCTACATATCCTGATTATAGCAAAAAGGCACACAAGTGAACACTTTTAATGAACACTTTTATTTGCGAGCTAGGTTAGAAAAAAAGAAGATTCATACTAAAACAAAACTGCTCGCTAGCATAAACAAAATCAAAACAAGACAATTGAATGTGAAATCAGAATCGAAAGTAAACTAGCCAAGCGGTAACAAAGCCGAAAATACCTAAGCAGATAGCCTTCAACCCGAAAAAAATAAGCAAAACGAGACTTATAAAAGCTATTAATTCCCTAAATCAAACCAAGACAATTGAAGATGAAATTATCATCGAAAGAAAATTTGCCAAGGAGTAACAAAGCCGAAAAAACATAATCAGATACCCTTTAAGCCAAAAAAAATCAGCAAAACTTCAGACTTATAAAAGATATTAATTCCCTATGGTAACTTTTCAGTAACATCCGTGTCGTTCTGGATCCTAGACGGCGTTCCTTTTCCACTAGACTTCAAAACTATCTGATTCCTAGAGAGTGAATTGGGAATTGTGTTCTACAGCTAAAAGGAAATATTTGAAATATAATAATGGTGTATTTAGCTAAAAATGGGATATAGTTAGTATATGTTATATCGGTCGGAATATAAATAGGGTTCTAGTTGCAGTTATCAACTTTAAGTTAGAGTTCCAGAGTTTTAATTAAAGTTAAAGAGATGTTTGTTTGATTGTTGTTGGAGCTCGTCATGGTTGACTTGAGGGACTAAATCGTCCTGTTCGACCATTCAACTGTAAGATTTGCTCTGGATTTGTTTGGAGCCCTGTAATACAAGGATCTAATCCCAAATTGGCATTTCTTTCCTTAATACATTAATTACATTTCAATCTGAAAAGCTCCGTGTCTTCGCCTCTTCACTCTGGCAATTCGGCACTGCGGAGATTCAATACGACCAAAAAGATGCTCAGTTTTTGCTAGGTAATTACAGCGGTCTATCCGGAGCCTATGCAGCAGAACTTCCTCTTCGCTCATTTGGTTTGTAGAATGTTCCAAAGCCATGCCAATTCGTCTGCGTAAATGATCTTCATTCATTTTCTGCCGGTAATCTTCTAGTATAGCTGCCTCTCTAGTCCTCAAAATGTACTCTTTAGTATTTAGATTTTCAGGTTTATCTTGAAACTTCTTTCTAGCGGTAGCTCTCCAATCTGGACAAAACCTGCTGTCCCCCCTCGCTTTCAGTCTCTGAGGTGGGCCGTCATCTGTCATAAGACGCAGATGATAATTTGTCGGGACGCGGAGGAACTTATTGTACAAAATGGCTGCTTCTTCGTCATCATACTGTCTCAACGAAGAAGCCCGAGCTTGTGTATAAGTTACGACTGCTTTAGAGCTTGCAGGTGTGCCACAAATAACTCTCGCAGCTCTATTGCTGCATGTTTCTTACTTGTTCCAATTTGAGTCAGAGAAAAAGAGCCCCATACTTCACTAGCGTAAATTGCTCCTGACTGACATAGGCGTTGTAATCTTCTGAAATCTGCGGATGCAATACTCCAGTTCTTCCCTGGCAAAATAGACAGCAGCTGTGTTCTCTCACTCATCTTCTTCACTATGATGCTAGTGTGTTCGGAAAACGTTAACTGTGTATCAATGTTCACACCCAGAATCTTGATATACCTGTTGAACGGAACCAGTGTGCTCTCCAGTAGTAGAGCTGGTTGCGCTTTGCTTGCCGTTTCTCTCGGGTCCAGGCTGATGACTGAACCCTCTGTCTTGGATGGTTTAATGAGCATATAGTGGTCACTAGCCCAGGAAATTACGCTGTCAAAAGCCAGTTGAATAGCTGCTGCGGATTCGGGAGAGAAAGCTTCGTTATAAAGCGAGTAATCATCTGCAAATTGGGCGCTTTTGGTGTCTGAAGCGTCTTGAACCACCCTCGTTGGCACACTGGTCGTGGCATGACCGAAAAGTAAGGGCGACAGAGGATATTCTTGAACTCCCTGCTGGAACACCTTGTCAAACTCTATCGAAGGCTCCTTTGAAGTCCACTGCCGTAACCACTGTTCCTTTCTTCATCTTTATAATGTCAAAAGCATTTTGGCAGATGTTGGCGAGAACATGTTGTAGATCTTTTGGCGCGAAACCCTGACTGACAATCTGAAATCAGATGTATACTCTTCCCAATGTTGAGCACGGGCTTCCAATATTGACTCCAGAACTTTGGCAACGCACGGCAACAATGAGACCGACCTATAACTCTTAATCTGAGCAGGCGGCTTACCATTCTTCAGAATTTGCCCAATTACTGCTCATTTCTAGCAATCGAGAACTGTTCCTCGATGTCGAAAACCCGAAGCAGAAATATGATGCAATTCTCAGGCAAATGCTTAATCATCTGAGAAACAACTCCGTCATGACCGGCAGCTCCATTCTTCATCTTCTGTAAAGCTCTTGCCAGTTCAATTTCAGTGAAACTGTCACCCAGTTCTCCTTCCGGTGGTCCCTTTCAGATCTTCTTTCGTCACAAGGAAGTCCTCTCTCGTGATCTGTTTCTTCACAATGGTTTCTTCTCAGGCTGAAAGCATCCTTCATCAACTTCTTCGCGCTCTCACAGAGACGAGACCACCAAAGCTTCCTATTACTCCCAACCTTGGTGATAGTTGTTGAATCCTTTATCTCCTTCTGTGCGGTCTCGACCAGGACCTTTTAATTTTTCTCCAGAGAAAGATCTGCATTCTACTCTGGCAAACTTCCGCTGTACTTCTCCCAGCCCGTTTTAAGATCGTTAAACTTCCGTCTTGACTCTTCTTCCTTCATCCCTTGGGAGCCAATGACAAGTTGAACATCCCTTGGGAGCCAATGACGAGAATAGCTACTCGCCACAGATCTGATCTGTGCGCAATGGTGATGTCGAGTGCAGTTTTCACCATCGCGGGACCCAGCTGTCGAACAGGTGTCGGAATGCCACTATTCACATGTGTCATATTAATGTCAATCAACAAGTCGTCGATCTCTTCTCTCAGCTGATCCGAATCTCTGCTCGCGTCCCAAGAACCATGCGCATTAACAACACAACGCACAGATAACAGAACTCCTCTCTCTCGGCCACTGGTTCATCCAGTCCGGTATTTTGAAAGGGAAAGGGTTTTTCACAGGAAAGCGGGTATATGGTAGAGCAGCCATTTCATGCTGGATACCATAAGCTAATTGGCGACGGCATGCTAAGCAATTGTTGCAGGCTTTTCGAATCTGTGATCTGGCGCGGAATCCAGTAGAGTGTTCCTGGTGTGCTCTGGTGGAGAGTGCTGGGTTGTAACATGAGTATGTCCTATCATTAGCATAATAGCGGGGTGTTTTCCGTCGAGAATGATGGGGTACTTCGAGCAAAAATCAAGTCCAGATTTTTGTAAGCGTCCATGATCTCGAAGAAATCCTTTATCGTCGATGAACGGGGAGAGGGGTCTAATGCAATGCGGCTGCTGGGTAATACTGATTTACCACGTTTGAGTGTGGCGTAGTCGTTGGCGAAAGTGTCCAGCTATGATTGCTTCAGAAGAAACAATTTGGCGTTGGTGATTTCGTCCGACCTCAAGATGTGGTTTCGGTCTGTCTGCGTTGGCAGACTGCTGCTGTTAGGGCTGGTTGGTTTCGTCTAATTGGTTTCTTGTGTGTTGGATCCTCGTTATCTCAATCCACAAGAGATGGGAAAAACGAAGAAGTTGTATCCGATGTTGTTTTGCAAATCAGAGATTGGTGTCTAACCTTTATTTTGAATCTTTCCACTACTCTGAGTACGAAAGCTGTTGCTCGAAGTAGTCGGGTCCATTTCGAGAACCTTTTGTATGTAATATAACATTTGAGACCAATGATATTTGATTGAGCAATGAAAGACTCTCGGTGAGTGCTCGTCTGTGTTATCCGTCGAAAAGAGAGAAGAATTGAATTTAGAAGATGGAGTTTTGGGCTTTGAAATCTGAAGTGGCGCGGGCCATTGCTGGTCCGATGCTAAAAAGAAGTCGGGTCCATGAACCTAACGGCAATTTTGTGTGAATTCGGTAAAGGGAAATCCTGGGGTTCCGTCGTCTGCAGGGTTAAGGTTTCCTGGTCAGTGTTTCCACTGCGAGGCTAAGGAGAGGTCTAATATTTCTTCAACACGGTTGACTAAAAATATTTGCTCTCTTTTGTCAGATCCATGCATCCATTGCAGACTTGTGCTGCTACCACAAGGGCAAACGATATACTTCTTTGGTCTGTGCTTTTGTCTATGCAAACGAAACATGCGACGGATGCAAGAGCATAGGAATCATCGGAGAAAACAAGCAGAGAAAGTTTTGCGTACTTAAGAAAAAACACTGGCGAGCAATGCTCAATTCTTGAAGCTGGTTGATTTCACTTAGTAGTGTGAACAATTCTGGAAGGTTGGCGTTGCTGATAAGTTCGTCCCATGAGAGTCCTTGTCTCCAAACACTTTGCAGCAAAATGCGTAGGCGAATAGTAACTGGCGCGGCAATTCCTATTGAGTCGAACACTGATGATGGAGTAAGAAGCAGATTCCGTTGAGTTGGTTTCTTTTTCAGTAGGTCGTAGAATATGGTTGGCAAGAAAAAAAAAGTCGCTGGAG